CCCTTCTCATATATACCATCAAATCGAATCGGCTGGCCAACCCAAAAAGAATTGGCTCATAAATTCAAACAATAATAATCGAGTAAATAATTATGGGAAAAAATTAATTACAAATAATTTAGTTAGAATTTAGGAATGAAAATTTTTTCTTAACCAAAATATTATTACTCGAATATTTTAACTTATATATATTAAAGAGAATTTATATTGATTATTACTGATAATACATAACAACACTATGCAAAAGAGCATAATTAATCAGGAGTATATTCCATTAGGATCTGCTCAAGTGTTTGTGTTCTCTTTCTTTAGTTTAGTCAGACCTATAATATATATATATATATATATATATATATATATATATATATATATATATATATATATATATATATAAAACATTTTATGCCCCCATGCCATGCACCTTAACTCATGTGATCATGATGAGAATCCAGAAGTAGTGTAGTATACTGATAAAGAAGAAGAAGAAGATGGCAGAAGGTTCCGGCCGGTAGAATACGGAGGAGGAAACATTAGAGGCAGGGCCCCGCCACGGACTGCGGTGGCGGCATTCACTCCAAAAGATTCCAACTGGCGGCGATCATTGTTATAGCGAAATACACCTCCATGGCTCGTTACTGGCACGTCGTAGCCCGACAAATGCAGCCAGATTCTTTGGTTGCTATTATTAGTATCTTCATGTGGCTTGTAGAACAACATTTGAGGATCTCTGGCCTGAAAGTATGGCTTCTTCGCGACGAAGCTTGTTTGGGATGGTGGGGGCGGATTTGCCTGCAGGGACACGCTCTCGTCTCCGTCTGTGGGGTCCACTGACACGTCCTTCCCCATCAGCCTGATGACGGGCTTGCACGCGGAAGATGGACTTACTGAGTCAGCGCGTCCCGCCGGGACCTTGTTGACTACCTGATGATGATGATCCGTGTCAACAAAGAGTTTGTAGAGATGTGAGTTTTTCTCGAGACGTGTGGGACACACGGGGATCGGTGGGGTGGTATTAGCAGTGGCAGGCTGCTGCCTCTGGAAAAGGTGAGGCGGGTCTTGACAGCTCATCATCGACAAAGTGCGATGATGATGATGATGATCAATGCTGTCGTTGGACAGGCTGGATTTGTTGTCTTCCGTGGTGGAATACAGCCATGGGTTTCGGCTCGCTGGCTTGTCCGAGGACCTGGTGAAGTTGGAGAGTGTGGTAGTAGCAGAAACAGGAGAAGTCTCCTCTGAAGAAGACCGATAAAGCCTGCTGCTTGCCAGTGATGAATATGCAGCCTGATGAAGATCTTCTTCTTCTAACCTTTCTCCCGAGCAAGTGCGACCGGGGCTCGGTATAAAGGACCCCGGTGGGCCCGGTATAGGAATCGAGTCTACCTCAAGATGACCACAGTACCCCCCTTGGAATTCATCAGCACTAGTAGTCTTGCCAACATCACAAAAAATCTCATCTTGATCACAAATAAAAGGCCTTTTGAAGTTTTCTTCATCACCAAATAGTGGCGAGTGATCTGCATGCAAATCCAAGCTATCATCATCAGCTCCAGATGCCCCATGTTTGCTAAAATTCATGAACTTTTTCCTGGCATACAACTCCGAGGCGGGGGGCATTTCATCGCGGTCATCATCTGACTCGCCTGATGATGAAACACTACCAAAGCTGAAGGTAGAACTGTTATCATTATTATTTTCATCATCCCTCCCAATATCACGACCGCTATCCTTCTCACATTCCTCCTTTCTGGTCCTCAAAATCATGGCCTTCTTGGCATCCCGTGTCGGTGGAAGTTCATCAATCTGGTCTTCTGCAGAATCATACTGTTTATCATCTGCACGAGACGTGGGAACACAAGGGACTTGAGATCTCACAGATCCTTTCAGTTTCCTTAGAGATGAGAACTTCTTGGCTTTTGATGAGAACGCATGATGATGACTGTAGATAGATGGTTTACAATGGACAGTGGGATTATCATTCTTGGTGATCCCACCACTGTAATGGGCTGAAGGGTGGTCATATGCTTTTGAAAGTTTTGCTTTTTTGCCCTTTCTTGGCACTGTATATCTACCGAGCATGGGAAAGCTCGCTTGCTTTTTCAAATAAAGCTGCTCGTTGTGATCATCACTCAACTCACATTCCAAATCTTCCAATCTCTTGCGGCTTTTGGGGAAACGAGCTGTCTCTAAAGGCGAGTTTAGGTTTCTTAAAGAACAGCTCCGGTTCGCATATGAGTTGCTGAGGTGTTCATTCCCCATCTTGCTGTTATCTTGAGATCTGATGTGCTGGGTTGGACATTGCTCTTTCCGAGTAATTTGCTTTCGAACAAAGCTTCCCTCTTGAACACTTCCCCTCTTCTGTTTTCACAATAATGAAATAAATGAATATATCCATCTTGTGTTTATTGTTTGAAACATTTAAAAATCTTATATTCCAGTACAGCTACTAAAGGGTTCACATTTTAGTATGTATTGGTTGAAAATGCATAAAATCAAAGTAAAAAAGCAATGTTTTTTCTTTCTTTAACATAAAAATGGCAACTTCAATATAAAAATGACAGCAGAGAGAGAAGAGGGTGAGGGGTTTGAAGATAAAACAAGTTCAAAGAGTTCCCAATTTATGTAGTTATTATTCTTTTAAGCCATGCAGTTCAACCATAAACAGAATTAAGAACTCAAAATGTTGGGTGGCCAAACATACCTCTGAAATATGTGGACTGCGAGAGCAAACATTTTTGTTTTGTGCAGCAGAAGTCATAATCTTGAGATATTTTTGGGAATTGATCGGATGTTTCTTCTTTTTCTTCTTGGTGGAAAGGAATTTGGACCCTTTATCACCTTTTGTAAACTTCTTTGAGCAAGTGGCTTTTCCATCATTCAACTTTGATAGTACCCGAAGCTTAGTCCCATTGGCATCAATATAAACTTCCCCTTCGTCACACGTTTTCTCTATATCAACCGGTGATGATTTGTCATTGTTATCATCACCACACTCATCCATCTCTGGTGCAGGAAAGCTCGGACGAACTGCAAGAGTTGTTTCATTTCTTCTGTCAAGATCCTCCAAGGTGCAGTATTGAGCAGTCACATAGATGTCTGTCATGAGTCTTGTTTTCCTGGGCCTCATCCTTTGCTTGCTAGCTTCACAACTTGAAGACGAAGCCCACTTCACTGTCTTTGGCTCGCCAGAAAGACACCGATCAATGTGAGCATTTAAAGTGGTGTTTGAAGATGATGAAAAATTCTTGCAAACCGGGCATGTTTTTGAAGCCATTGATTCCGAAATCGCAAGATTACTTGTTTTAGTTTCTTCTTCTGTGATGCTGCTCAGTTTGGCTGTTGAGCTGCCCTTCTTACCTGAGAGGACCTTGTTTGTTCCTATAACTTTAGTTCCAAATTCCAAACCAGAACTCTTATTCGCCGGGACAGAATCAATATCTGAACAAGGATCAACTTTATCTCCTTCAGTTCCACTTGAATTTATGTTAGCAGATTCAGTATGGTGAGAAGTGGGAGGCAAGGAATCATTATCACACGGTGTGGATTGATCGTCATGCAAAACAATTATATTATCCTGTTTGTCAGCCAAGGTATTTTCAACCACGCGTCTCAAATTGTCTGCAGAATGGAAAGGTGGCAAGAGCTCCTTCACGCCGTGATCCAAACAAAGCTCTAAACTTTTCTCAGAGAAAGGCCAGTTGGTCTTGATATTCTTGCTCCTGCTGCTTAAAACATAATCCCTGCAACACAATAAGTATAATTATTCATCTAATTTGGGATAATAGGCAAACAAATATTTAAAGATGTAAACTTTGGGTTGAAAAGAAATGAAAAATCAAATCTTGGAAGAAACTAAGTTAATTTCATCAAAAATTTATGTGGACATGATGATATACTGCTACAGTAGTACAACTCCAAGGATGGGAATTCAAGAATAAAGGTGGAATGGGCTAAGAGGATGACATCAATATGAACATACACATGAAATAACCACTAGGAATTGCTCCTCCAAATATAGACAGGAGTGGCTTTCAGTTAGATCTTGAAGAAATACCCCACAGTAACAGTAAGGAAGGGGTTGAAACTTGATAGTAACCACTATAGATCTGACCCCCCAGGAAAAGTCTCAAGTAACTCTAGACCAAGATTACACACACAAACACACTCAAAGTGTGTGATTGTGTGTGTAAATTCTTACATGTGCTAATTAAACTTTTACCTTATGGAGAAATATGGAGGAAGATTACTAGTGTTTTTTTCACCAAGGGCTGCCTGAGGCAGATCTACCTTCTCCACAAGCTTACCAGAACAAGTATAAGAAGAAAAAGAAGAAGAAGGCTTTTCATCATCACCACCATTAATGGTTTCCAATGGAGAGGAGGTTATAATCTGGGGAAGATGACAAGTGAGATCTGATGCAGGTGGGGGGTTGTCAATGGATAACATCTGCTGTTAAGCTGTCTTCTCTACCACTCCCTTGTTATACTTATTCTCTTCTTAAAGGTCTCCCATCAGCAAATTAAAGATCTAAGAAAACAACCCCTTCTTTTGATTCATCACCTGCACACATATCATGAGAGGAAGACAGTGATGAGTAATTACAGCACCAGATCACTAGATCAAGAGTGGTTTCAAGAAACACCCATAAATTATTCTTTAAAAAGAGAGATGGTGACGAAGTTTCCAGACCCAGAAATCACAGCCACAGACGTTATCTTATGTGGTCTATGACAAAGATGGGTGAGAGTGAATTTGAAGTATAATCAAGAAAGTGCAGAGATTGAACAAAGAAAGAAGCAATTTTGAGAGAGAGAGAGAGAGAGAAGCAAAGGATGTTGAGTGGGGGAAGATGAGGTTATATGAAACATCATGAGACGTTATTTTATGTGGGCAACCCAAAGACAAAGTAGATGAGATTTCCCAACCTTTTCAAGATGGGAAACAACTAAGCACTTCAATACTTGGCAAATCAAGACTCTTTAACAAATTAATACTGTTCCAAATGGTAATTAACTCACTAAAGATTTGATTTTTTTTCTCCATTTCTTTCTTTTTTTGTCCCCAAACCCACAAATGGAGAAAGGAATGGATCAATGGTATAGACCAGAAGAGATGCTTTCACATGAGATTTCAACTTCAAATCTTTGGTCTCCCCCAGGCCATGACCAGACAGAAAGACCCAAAAGACCCAATCAACTCAGACTTGATCCACACACAAAGAGAAAATGCCAAGAAAGAGAGATGCAAAAACACAAACAGATCAAGCAGATCAGAAACCCCGCCACTCTCCATAAGAACCAGAAACAAAACAAAGATCACTCGGCAAAATCAAACAGAGATGGCATGATGAGATGAAGAAGAAACCATGAAACTAAACCACCCAGAAAGGGAGAAGAAAGAAAGTAAGAAATCAAGGGACACTAACTTGATGATGATGATGCAGCTCTTCATGGGGAGAGAAAAATGGCAACTTTTTGACAATAGAAGAAGAAGACCACTGTCCTCCTCCAGAGAGACAAAAATGGGTATTTTAGAGAGAGAGAGAGAAAGAGACTAAGAGAGAGCCACCCACTCACACATGAAATGGGTATCAAGTTCTTTCTTCTTCTCACACCCCCATAAAGCAAGCTTGGATCATTAAAAATACTTCATCCCAAATTAGTCATTCCCATTAATTATTTTAATTTAATTTCAAAAAGTGAATAATTAAAATCTGTTTGGAAAAGTATACTCACAGAATATTTATTAAATAAATAAAAAATAAGAAAATTACTTTAGGTGGGATTAATTTGGAATATAAAAGTATAACTTTAAAAGAAAAAGAAAGTATCAAAAAGAAAATATGAATTTTTATCCTAAAATAAAAGTTTACATTGTTATAATGTGACACTATACATTGACATTTCATAATACTTTTTGATAATGCATATAGTCATGATTGTCACTGTGAATGAATTTTAAATCTTATTTCGGGAATAAAAACATAGAACTCATACTTTAGCATTTTTCAATATTTTACTCATACTTTAGTCTTTTTCTCAAACAAGAAGTGCATTAGGAATCCACCAAATTCGTATCCAACTTGCACACGAAGTGTATCAGAGACACACGCAAACAATAATTGTTCGTGAGATTCAAAGACGACTCTTATCTATGTGTGTGAGTAAAATTTTAATCGTAGATTGATGATAGTGAGTAGAGTCTGCGCCTGATAATTGTCAGTTACTAAGAATTTTAATCGTAGATTGATGATAGTGAGTAGAGTCTGCGCCTGATAATTGTCAGTTACTAAGAATCATATTCGGATCTATTCTTTAACAGTTTTTACTTTTGCCAACTATGCAACGACCGCCACGGAGAATTTGCAAGAAGGAGAGAGAGGAAATGGGAGGGGTAGTAAAAAAAAGTACAATATACAGTACTCGGAGTAGTCTAGTGCTACTACATACGCACACTATAGGATGCTGTCTTATCCTACACCTACCCCTACCCCCCTCGATTCATCATTTCTTTTTCTTTTCTTCTTTTCCCCCCTGCATTATCAATTCTTGAATCTTGAGCTTTTTATTTTATTTTAATGGAGAGTTGCTGAAATGGCAGTTCACGCCACATTGTTTCGTTTATTTACACAATAGCCACGCTCCCTTTTTTTAGAATGGAAAAATCAAAGTAGAAAGTCTGTCTTTGAAACGTTTTAAGTTGATTTGATGAGATTTTAAAAAAATATTAAATAATAAAATGGTGGTTGAAATTTGTTAAAGAAAAAAAACCATAGGTCACATATTTTGTAGTGAAAAAGTTAGACAATTATTTTAGGATAAACTAAAAAAGTAAAATGATTAATTCGGATAAAGACTGTATTAAAAAAATCTTTTCAATACAATTCATTCTAAATAGTGAAATTTGAACTAAATAGGACTAAAACATAATGACTTTCCAAATGTAGAACTTGAATTTTTTTATTCCCTAAATAGGACTTAATAATGACCTACTGGGAGGAATAATGTCCAGTAATGATGGACATTTACTTGAGTAATGACTACTTTATAATGACCAAAGGTCATACATTGGGAAATAAAAACATATGTTCCTATATTGGAAAAGTCATTATGTTTTAGTCCTATTTAGGTAAATTTCTCTTCTAAATATGAACTTTTAATTGAAATTAATGAAAACAATATTTATAGTAAAGACTGTATCACGGTCTTGTTGAATTGTATGCTCTTTATTAAATACTCCCTCCGTCCTAAAACTTTCTTCCCAGAGCACTATTCTAACTTCACGGGAATTTATATTTATTTGTGTTTTTTCATGATCTATATGATAAAATAAAATATTCTTGTCACCACTTGTTTTGTTGAACTTTTGATGTAGTTTTTAAATATGTATGTTTTATTTTTTATTTCTATACCAATATTTAAATAAAATAGATTGAAAAAACTTGGGATTTTTCTTCGTTTTGCGCAACGGAAAGAAAGATATAGGACGGAGGCGGAAAGAAAGATATAGGACGGAGGAAGTATTTGAAATCCTATTGGTCTCCCAAAATGTTAGTGTAGCACTGACATTTTGTAATAGTGTATATCACTATTTTTCCAGTGCAAAGCATTGTTGTATAAAATGGTGTACCCTTAGATGGCATACAAATAGCATTATTCAAAATTTCATATTTTTCAACCGCTCTTAAAAAGTATGAAAAGTTGACGTATAATATATCAAAATATTTATTTATCTCTTTTAAGAAAATGCCGGAAAAAGTGTTAGTAACCTATTAATAATTATATCTAAAGTTAGTACAGTGCAAAATCATGTGACTTTTAAATTTTCTATTTATAAAATTGTATAGAAATAAAAACTATAATTTTCATATTAGAAAATTATGTTAAAAATTCTACAAAACAAGATGTGACAACTATATGTTACATTATCAAATGATTTACGAAAATATACAAATTAAAAGTTATCAAGAAAACAAAATGGTAACTCATGTTAGAAAACGACGGGAGGGAGTAGTTTGTATCTAAATTCATTCAACTTTTACAATACTTAAATAATCAGGATGATTTTTTTTCCTTGAGGGATAATTATTAGATAAATGTGAATAATGGATAATAAACGAAAAGGAAACGTTGCATTTCTTGATGTACGGGACTGTGGTGTGGGCACATGATGGCATCATATCATATATAATAGCCATGGGGTCGAGTTTCAACAACGAAATGCCATTTCATTTGTTAGTTTCCTCACTTCAAATCGTCAAGAAATTTAATTTAATTTCTGTCGATCAACGACCCCATTAAAAAAAATCTATATAATTTTATGATCCTGCATGTATTTTCTATTCAATCTAGTAATCTTAATTTTTTAAGCGCAGAAATAAGGCTCGAACCTTTGATAATTAAAGAGAAGCTTGAGGTGACTTTCTTGTCATTAGGCCATCATATACTTTCACTTTCAAATGTGACCAAGATTTCTTCCATCTATTACGACTTCGTTTGGTAATAACGTTTGTAATTAGAATTTTAATGATTTATATTAGGATTTAAAAAAAATAACTTTAACGACTTCGTTTGGTAATAACGTTTGTAATTAGAATTTTAATGATTTATATTAGGATTTAAAAAAAATAACTTTAAAAATTGAGAGTTGGTTAGTGTTTTTCAAAATATTGAAACAACCATTGCCCTAAACCGTTGTGCGAGCTAACGGGAAAAAAAGAAAGTTCATTGAACTTGGTTTGGAAAATGCTAATCATGACCACAATATAATAATAAGACAAACGAAACAAAATAAATAAAAATAAAAGATGACAATGCATGTCCATTTGCATGTGGCTCGAATTTGAGCTTACAAGTTACACACCCTGTCGTTCATTATATAATTTAACTTCTTTCGTCCCGTTTTAAATTTCACACTTTGAATTCACATAATAATTTAATAAAAATATTCCAAAATGAGTAGTGTAATTGATAGATGTTCATTTAGATAATTCACAGTGAAAAATTATTATTCACATGCATATTCTTTTTTTAATGAAATGTGAACTTTCTAGCTTGTCAGTAACAGAAAAGATATGCTTCGGTATATCACTATTGATCCAAAACAACTATAGTAGCATATTCACTGTTCATATGGTCAAACTTTATTCACTTTGTTGGTGCATTTTCGTTGCCAATTGAAATAATATACTCATGTCACCTCTAATTTTATAAATCTTTTCATTTAGTTTTTAAATGGAAGAACTCTCTAGATAGAAGTAAAACATTATGCAAAAACAAAAAAAAGAGTCATATGCATGTCTTTGAAGACCAAAATAAAAGTTCACGTTGTCATTGTTACACTGTCACACTGACTACATTGTTAAATGATAACTGCCACACTATCTTTACATTGTAACTGACATATTACGCGGTCATCACTTTTCTATCACACTGCCAACGCGACTCTTACACCATGCTGCCACCCACTATTCTCATATTTTGGATATAAGAGACATAGGAGTACTCCTATTTTGACATTTTCAAATTCTTTTACTCTTATGTACGGGGATTTCTTTTTTTAAATACGTAATTTTTATTTTTTTAATTCTATACAATTTTTCATATAAAAGAATTTGAAAATAAATTCTGTCAACGCGCAACAAGAACATTATTGTAAGAGAGAGGAAGTATACACATTATTTGGATAGGGAGTATGATAATACCCCAACAACGTACAAGTCATACATGGAGCATGCATGTAGTTATGCTTCATTAATAATTACCAACGGATCCATATATAAGCATGCATAGAGGGAGTACATGGAGATATTTACCTATATCCTAGTAGTGTCCTGGTCCTAGTGTATTCGATTAGTTTGATTTTTTTAAATTAAGTTGAATGAACTTTATTCATCAATTATTTTTTTAAACAACTTCTACCCACGATAAAGGATAAATATGATAAATTTTAGGCATTTTAAATGTGAGTAGAAGTGTTTTATGAAATGCACAAAAAAGAAACAACGTAATCTTCTTTTTGGAACGGAGATAATATGTCTTTTCTCAACACACACCCCCCCACCCCAAATCCATTACACACTTACGGTAAAGGGGCGTTGCCCCAATGCAAGTGATAACCATCACTCCGCGGTTCTTCTTCTTTTTTTAATATTCATCCAATCAAAATTTAATACATACTCACACTTTACGACTTATTTTCACACCCATCATAACACAGATATTTCTATCACTCTACACCATATTGTTTGTTTTACACACCACCAAGCCCCATCAAACCCTTCCATAACACATGATCTAACAATTTTCACGGGCCTTATTTATTGAGACAAATTGAAGATTGTATGGTTGAGATACAATTGAGGTACCCCTATTATTTTTCATTTATTCATTCGGCATTTTCAGTGACAATACTTATGAAAAATGTCTGTCTATAAACTGTAAAGTGTTTTGGGTGAAAAATGCAATGTTAAGAGTTATAATTAGTGGATGGGAATATATATATATACACACATACATATATAGATTTTGGTTCTGGTGGGAATGCGATCTTATGAAAGAAATAATTAAGAATGAATCTGATGCTTTAGATTGTGAGATCTGAGGGTTAAGATTACATCAAAATTAGGTGCACCTAAATGATTTGAAAATGCATCATATCGAAATGCACCAAAATCCTTTGAAAATGCACAATCTCAAAATCTGAGCGCACGATGCATCAGATTCAAAGAATAGATTTTATTTTTATTTCTTTCATCAAAATGCATTCTCACGTGAACCGGCCCCTACACACACAAATATATATATACTCCGTATGTGTGTGTATCAGGTGGAATGATATTTAGCTGACATATTAACAAACAATTTAAAGTGGTAATGAACCACACGCCAAACATGACGTTGCTGTTCCACATCCCACATGCATTGCAGCTGTGAAGCGATGGAATTTGACATAGACCTTGTTTCACATATTAATAATAATAATACTCTTTTGATAGGATGATTAATTTAATCCATTTTTTCATTCATTTTATTTATATAATACCGAGTAGTACAAAAATTATATGGAGTATTTCATACGGAGTATGTTTAATTTAAAGATTACATAAAAATATCTATAAAACAGAAAATGATTATATTAGATTATTTTAACAAGAAAAAAAAATCACACTATTACTCTTGAAATTGTACAGGAGGTATCATTTTACATAATTACTTTCAAATTCAATAATATAATGATGTCACTGCTCCTACAATTGGTTAATGCTTATTTTGGTGATCCATCATGTCACTCACCATATGATATATATAAACATACATCAATTCTAAGGATGTAAACAAATACTCGTGAAATTCTAAGGGTATCTCTATGTCATTTATTAAATCTAGAAATAATTAAGTAAAATCACCCCATTCTAAAAATAATGGTATGAATTTTTTTCCTTTTGACAAACAATTCACTTAAATGAATAAAGAAAGAACAATATAATGGCTTACAAATAGTGTTGGGACGAATGAAATACGAAGTATATACTTAATTTTTAAGCAACCGCGGTGAAAGCTTTATTTCGGAACGAAGGAAGTATTAATTTACGTACACATCACAATTCTTTTGAACAGAGGGGAGGTTTTTCACCCGAAAGAACACAAGAACAAATAGGATGTATGCATGAAAACGATACTCCCTCTCTTCTTCGTCCCAATGTATTAATGAATTTCTAAACTGGAAAAAAAGTTAAACTAGACAAATCCACAAGAACGAAGATGGTATGGAGTATTTAACAAAAAGGGGCCTTCATGCCAACTTTTCTTGACAAAAAAAAAGACAACATGGTTTGCAAATAACACATAATTGAAGAGCACAACCAAAGAAATGATACACAAGAAAAAAATATATGAAGTGAATACAACAATCATGTGATCTGAGTGGGTAAACAGGCACTGCAACTGATAAAAGATAAAACAGCAACTGATACAAGGTTAGAGAACCTAGATACAAAGGTTCTCTCCATGGTAGTAGTACTAGTATTGGTACACAACTAATTGGAGTATTATTGATCAGCTAAACCTCGATATGATATGATATGATACACGGGGTAGTTTAAAACGGCCTCCGATATTCTTGAGGTGGTTGTTCCCACGGGAAGCCTGCAAACAATAATTTATTCAAAAGTTTAGTCGAAGAACGCAGCAGACCTTATCCCTGCTCAAAAGTAGAGGGACTGTTCCCAAAATACCCTCGGCGACGCACAAACAAAGTAAGCACGGTAGACCTTCATAGGATTGTTTATTAAAAAAAGGGGAAATGCCAAACTAAAATGCAAACATACTCATGGGTATTTCTCCAAGTGACATGTAGATTGAATCGTCGTCGCCAAGAAGTCCCTGAAACAAGCAACGAGTCATACAAGTCAAAAACGAGTGTAGAAAGAAGGCTACTCGACAAGTAAACCAAGCCCTAATTCAAGTTACCTCTCCATTATGAAGTCCCATATCATTGTGTAGAACACTCATATCTTCTCCTCCTGGTGCAGAGGAGCAGTTTGGAATATCATTCCCAAGTAGCTCCGATAACATCAGTCCATAGCCATCATGAACATCGGCAATCTCATTCACAATGTTCGCATTATTATTTGCATATCCGTCGCGGCTTGTTAGTTCTGTTATGGAACTGCAGAGTGCTTCATGGTTTAGAAACAGAGTTGACGACAATTCAAAGAAATAAAGCTACGCATGATGATAATGCAGAGACCATGGTGAATGAAATTGACAAATGAGATGTAATCCATTAATTAAATCAAGGAAAACTAATTTCACAAACATTATCTGAGCAAAATGAACACTAAAAGAAAGCACAATTATAAAAATAAAACATAAAAAAACTACCTCCCCAGTTGATCATCGAATGGCTTGCCCTCTTGTTCAGAATCGTTTTCCAGATCAATCACTTCGACGTATTTTCCATCGAACCCACAATTGTTATATTTGTCCGGTATGCCACAGCTATTATTCATTGACAAATCAATAGGCACAGGTTCTTTTCGACTTTCAATAATAGACGGAAAAATGAGATCGGTGTCAACATCATGATTCTCATTCACATCAGCAGCCTCCATAAGATTTAAGTCACAAGTCTTGAATGCACTTGGGAAGAGTTGTTTTTCTTCAAAGTCATCAGTTTGCATGATGTTACCATTTGGGTCGTGCAAATTCTGCAGCTTTTCCTTTTCCTCTAAACCAGAATGGTAAAAGAAACAATCTGACCGAACATCATCTGGTGAAGTCAATTCTAGAGGTTTCATATTTTGCTCCTGCTCATTTTCTTCCTCTAGTTCCTCAATTTTTTCAGGAACATCCATAATAGTGTCATCTGTGAAAGATACTGAACTCGTACTGTCTTCTTCGACAGGATGAACAGAAGCATTCCTTTCTTCAGGAGGTGTCACACTTGGATTGCCATAATAAGGGGATTTAGTGTCGCAGTTTTGATTAAATGAATCATGCAAAGGGATTTCTTCAAATTCCTTAGGTTGTGCACACTCATTGGTATCCTTCTCCTCCTCTACTGTGACAGCAGCATCACAGATAACCTTTGAACGTCTAACTGTCAACGAAGAACGGGTTCTCCTAGGAACATTCTCAAATCCGCAGAGGCTAAGCAAGTCGGTGCCTTTCTTGCTTGTTGGAGTCCCTTCTTCCACACGCAACTCGACATGGGAGTCCGTGCCACCATTATCATCGCCTCTCTTACTTTCCCCAACTTCACTAGTGGATGTTTCCATGTTGGCAGACATCTGGACATCCTCAGCTTCGTCCTTTGGTGGGAGATCTTTCCCACTACTAGTAGAACTTTCCTTCGAAGCTTTATCGCCCACAGAGTTGTGTTTTTCTAAGGCTAACTCAGAATCACAGGCCGCATTTGCATCAGAACCTGTTTCCGGAATTGTTTTGGCTGATCCTTCTTTAGCAAATTTCTTTTCATCTTGATGCACCGAGGAATCAACACGGCAATCATCTGTCTCTGGAGACGAAGCCCTTGATTTTTTAGAATATGACCCGCTTCTTCCCGTGTCACGGTTCCAATCAGAATCCTTAAAATAGCCATTTCTTCTCCTGCCTCTAAACTGACCCTTGTTAGGCCCAGCTGCACCATAATCATCAGAATATCTCTTCCTTCCTGGCACTATATCAGGTACGTGATTCCCCAGGCGAGAAAGAGCGGATGGTCGGCTCGCCACGGGCCCGACAGGCAGCGGCTGCATATCACCTCCTTCTTGAGTCCTAAAACCGGGGTTGTAATTCCTCAAGTTACCATTCTGCCCCTTCCCCAAGAGTACACTTTGTGGCAGCAACCCTTTGCTTACCAAATATTCGGCTGCCATTCGACCAGCCTCCATGAACACATCACTTCTCCGGGGTGAAGGGTCCCGCATAGGAAAGTGCTTCGGCTGAACATGCCCGAACCCATCACGGTTATAGTTCCTGTACTCAGAGCTGTACATTTCATGATGGCCTCTAATGGATCCTTCAGGTGAAATTCGCAACGATGCGGGGACATGGCCCCCGCCTACCATCCTCATTGAATTAGACCTATTGTAAGCTGTCACTGGACCTCGATGCCTGGCATGCATTTTTATGAACGGAAAGCTCTCCCAGGAAGAACAGAAAACTCAAGCTAGAGCTATATACCACTGCAATTAACCTGGGTTTTCTCTCCTTTCAGATAATTTGGGGGTAAAAATGCGATCTTTTCTCAGGTGGCTCCTTAATAAGCCCAAGATCCAACAGTCACAGAAAAAAATAAAAAATCTCAAAGCCCTACTTCACAGATCTGCCGATCTATTTGAAAAAAGATTCCACCAATTAAGACAACAACAGTGAATTCAGTTACCTCTTCCAAAAAAATCAGGGTTCTTGATTTAGAAATTTCAGATCCAAGTTCACACCATCTCCATCATCTTCGACAGAGAGTCCAAAAACCTCAAGATCTTAACAAGAAGAGGTATTATCCATATGAAGATTGGGGTCAATTTCTGTTCTTGTTATGGAATCCACGCCTGGATCCAACAAGAATCGGTAGGGTCAAAATCAGTCCAAGAAAATGCATCCACGTATTATATGCATATATGTAGAGGATATCAAATCATCGAGTGGAGGTCGATGATGGATCCAAGGAAATTTACTTCATTTTCTATTCATGCAAAACCCCATCCCTTTTTTTTCTCTTTTTGGTCCTGGAAATTTTTTGCGTACGAAAGGCTTGAAATGTAAAGAAGCTGCGTGATGATCCCACAAACAGATCTGCTTGCTTCAGTGATTTTTGCAGTAACCACGGTTAATTATAATCGGACCTGAAAGGATCGGTTAATTGGACCGGTTGAATTGAAAATCCAACACCAAATAGTCCAAACTTGTACGATCTAGGTAACATTTCGTTCAGCTTATTTTTTCTGCTTATTATTTATTTTTATTATAATCATATCAAATTATATTAGAAACAATTTTAATTATAATTCTAATTAGTTCAGAACATGCCATATTTGATATCCTTTACATATATACAAATATGATTTGTTTATTGTTTTAGAAGTTTTGTTACTCCTTTAAAATCGCTGCATGATTTCAGGCTATTTCCACAACCGGCTAAGAGTGAAAGGCTCACTTCTTGTAACTCATGACAAAATTCCCAAGTTTGGGAACTTTTTACATTACAAAAAGATTGAAGATTAGTAATGAAGTGACAGAATTGGAAGATTTGCAAGTTGCTTTGGGAGAAGCTATTTAGCCGCTCGTCAATCTCCTTGTCTTGCATATGACTAATGGGTTCATAAGACCATCTATATGCAATGCGTATGTGTACTTCTTTTACCTAAAAATACCAAGTTCAAGAAAAGAGATTGAAAACTTAAGTCTTGGTCGCAACTATCTCCAACTCACGCCTTTACTGGATTTCTCTACAGTGCGAGCAAGAACAGACCTTGGGTGTGATGTTCAGTTCTTGGTTCACCCTCATCCCGTCCAAAATCATACATATCATTTGTTAGTGTTTTTAAGTAAAGTACACATACTCAGCATATAAATAGTCTTATGAATGAGTTCTCTCAAAACAACTTACAAATCTGTTTCAAGACTTCCATCACCAACTTTCATTTTTTTATAATTCAAAAAGCTCTCAAACTCGAGAATGTTGTCATTAGTTACAAGTAGTGAGCCTGTCACTCTTAGCACATCATGGAAACATCCCAAATCATGCAACAATTTCAAAGCACTTACAAAATCCCTAAAACAATAAACAAAGCACTTATGATTCGCCCATAAGGATTATGTCATTGACAAAAAGCTAGCACCTAGGGGTGTATACAAATTAAACACTTTCAACTCGATTTGTAATTTGTATTCGAATATGGTGTTTCAGATTCGATTTAGCCAAATTCGAATTCAAGTCCGAATCGAGTTTTACTATTTGAATGTAATCAAATATGAATACAAATCTTACCATATCTGATTCGTTAAGAATTCGAATTATTTGAATAATACCTATATGCACTTAGTATATATTTATATTTAATTACATTTTTTGTATACGAAGTATTCTGTATGAGTATATTATATATTACTTATACATGTAGTATTAAAATATGATAAATGTCAAGATCTCCTATTTGAATTTGTGAATTTGTGAGTTTATGTTAGTTCCTAAAAATAAATAACTACTTGTCTTATTGAATTATGATTTTTTGTAAAAGAAAAAATGTACTCCGAATTTTCGAGTACTATTTTTTATTCTGAATGTTCGAATACAAATTTGAATATTTTTGAATATGAGCTCAAATCGAATACGAACCTTTTTTAAAATTTGAATTATTAACGAATTCGAACTCGAATACATATCATCCTAAGCAAATACGAATTGAATACATGGACATTTGATTCACTTCGTATACACCTCTGTTTGCACCATGATACAGATTCTTGGATGAGAAATTTACCTAAATATGACTAAAACATAATGACTTTCCCAATATAGGAACATATGTTTTTATTTACCAATGTAGGACCTTTGGTCATTATCAATTAGTCATTATTCAACTAAATGTCCAGCATCAATTGTGCATTATTTCCCTCAATAGATATTATTAAGTGTGCATTATTTCTCTCAATAGACATTATTAAGTGCTATTTAGGAAATAAAATAAGTTTTACATTAAGAAATAATTTATGTTTTAGTCCTATTTAGTGTAAATTTTACTTCTTGGATTTGCTCAATAAGAACTTCCAGTGCTAGTGTAAAAAGATATGGGCTTAGCGATGACCCTTGAATCAAGATAAGATGAACAAATAAAATTTCTTTCTTGCTTAAGAGCCTCAACCAATGTCTCACAATTAAAGCAAATCTCAACATCACAAATGCCTCGATCCTTAAGCCACATAAGACCATCCTTGCGTGCAAGCCTCTGCTAGTAACGGGTCTTGGGGTCCCTACTTACGCCCACTAGACGCTGCCATGGAAAACAACTAGTGGTAGAGCCACATAGGGTCAAGTGGGTGCAGTTGCACCCACTGAAATGGGATAAGTATATATGTATTACTTTAATTATTATTTTGTGTAGCAAACTTGGGTTGAAGGCATGCAAATTAGCCCCATCAAACTTGAGTTTGAACCCCTGGCATATTATTTTTTTATAAAACTATTCCATGTAATTTTTTTATTTACACTTTGACCCCAATTTTCTCAATATCTGGCTCCGCCACTGAGAACAACATGTAGCCAAATGAGATATGATCATGACCCGGGAACAAGCTAGCATTGAAGAAACACCGCACTATCATTGGCCGAAGGTCCTCCTCCAGTCTCGGCAGCACTTCAGTTGTTCATGCCCTCCTCTTCACATCCAGCCTTTGTCTGTCTCCACCACAAGACGTTGGGTCTCCGAAATCATTGAGTTTCTCGCTTTCCACAGAGCCCAACAAGTCAAAGCAATGAGACATATGTCCAACACAGAATTTGTCTGTCATCAAACTTGAAACAAGTTAAATAGCGCATGATCACCTCCTATACCCATGAGTCTTCAAATCAAATCTGTAAAAAGATAAGATAAAATAACATGATCAACGGTATCGTGGTGCCCCTCACACAAAGGATAGTCAAATTGAATCTAATCAAACTAATGTATAAAATGGTTAAACAAAAAAAACCAAAGTTGAATAGAAAAAACAAATTGTTATTACTTGGTATTGCTTTTAGTTTTCACTCAAAAAATCTAAACCAAATAACCTATCAAAGATTACATCATTTTATGTAACTATGAAAAACAAAAAAAGTATAAATATCATATAATGCACCATTTAAAATTTTCACACATCAACTATTACTCTTTAAACTCTATTAGTATAAATCATAAAAGTAAAAGATCTAACAACATTAATACTAATTACTCTAATAATATTAAGATTACTAACTGATGTTTATTCTAGATATTATAATGTAATATTTGTTTAAAATCTCCACTTATTAATATGAACTATTGTTTCCACTAGAGTTCAAACATCAAATTTTCCATTTGAGAATCACCTTGAACCCTTGATGCCTTTTAACCACCAGGTTCTTGGCTAAATACTTTAATAAGGAGTATTAATTTGGCTGGTGTCTCGTGGTGTCATTTTTAAGACCAAGTGTTACTCCTTATTAAAGAATGCTAAACAAAAATTAGGCCGAAAACCACAAATCGTTCCATGCCGTGAGTCGCTAAATCATCAGTTCCTTCAGAGAAATGATATGTGTGATTACGGTCGAGATGAGGGCGAACCAAGCACAAAACATCACACCCATGGTCTGATCTGGCTCGCACTGTCGAGAAATCCGATAAAGGCGCGAGCTTGAAGAAAGTTGCGACCAAGACAGTCACCGGAAGTTTTCAAATTATTTTCTTGAACCTGGTATTTTCCAGAATCTGTATTGTCTTAAGGAGTGATCGGAGATTTGGTCCGGGACGATGATGTGAAAGCTAAGGAAATGTCAGGAGGCGAGTACAGCGATCACAACGTGCTGTTACAGCGTCCCGTTTCATCGGCGCCGGAGAAAGAAGGCGATTTGGAGGCTCAGGCGTCGCCCAGGGGTCCCAACAAAGGCATTGCAGATCTGCTGAAGCGGTTGGACAGAAGCCTTTCCGGCCGCAAATCTCCCACTGTAAAATGGCCCAATAGGGACCGGTCCTCTGCCTCTTATTCACCATTGGGCCGCGGCGTCGACCCAGGCAGCTCTGGTAACAATGATGGGGAAGAGGATGAAGTCCTCGGAGATAGTGCCCCGCCCGAATGGGCACTTCTGTTAGTTGGTTGTCTCCTTGGCCTAGCTACCGGGCTCTGCGTGGCCGTGTTTAACCGAGGGGTTAGTTTGAATTTTTCAATGCCACATTCTAGATATTGTTTGATTTAGCTATCAGATATAGTCTTAATTTTTTGGATTGCTCAAGTACCGCTGATTTTGTTTACTGCATTTGAAATGATGAAATGCTTCCTTCACAGTTTACAGGAAATATAAGAACTGAACTTTTTTTAGGTATTGTTTGATTTAGCTAGGCCACGGTAGAAAATGAGAAGTCTGGTCTTAATTTTACTGCTAATTTTATTTTTTATCGAAATGCTGATTTCCTTGAGGACATAAATTCTAGCTATGAGTTAGGTTATGCTAAGAACTTGGAAAATGGTAGGGGAATATAAAAAATACTAAAAGAAGGTTATTTTTTTAGTGTTACCTTTGAAAACAAGAAGGAAAATAAAATTGATCAAGCATTTTTTTTGTACATCTTGATTTATTAGTTTTCATATAGTAGAAATAATGGAACAAATATGTAGAACTGATTTGTTGAGCTTTGTCATAGAACCAACTCAACCAAAAGTTCAAGTTTGTGGTTGTAGGTCCAAGAATTGTTTTATACTTTAACACGTCCCTTCATGTGCATTTGAGATTTGTTTTTGTTCAAGCCTTGCACCTGAACATTAAATTTTTAAAATTGGGTACGTAAAAGAACCAGTCAACAAGGCTTAAATGTTATGTCAAAGAACCAACTCAACCAAAAGTTCAAGCTTGTGGCTGTAGGTCACGGGAAATGGAAATGTTTTATACCCTAACAAGCTTGAAGAAATTTTTATTTTTTGCCCTCATTTTACTTCCATCCATTTTTTCTGAACAATTTTCTCCGAATTTTCTTTCTGTAGTATTTTCTAAGTGCCATTTGGACCCTTACGAATCCTAGAATTTCTTTGGTAGTTGTGATATGTGTCCTTCTATTCCATGCACAACATTTCGATGATGGAGGAAGATTCTTTTAGGTGCATGTAATACATGAATGGGCATGGGCCGGCACTCCAAATGAAGGTGCAGCGTGGCTGCGTTTGCAAAGGCTAGCTGACACATGGCACCGGATACTTCTGATACCCGTCCTAGGTGGAGTCATTGTTGGCATGCTGCATGGTCTACTTGGGATCTTGGATCAGATAAAACAGTCATCCACTCCTTCTTCTTCTCAAGGGCAGGGCTTTGATCTGTTTGCTGGGATCTTCCCCACGGTGAAGGCTATACAGGCTGCAATAACTTTGGGTACTGGATGCTCTTTAGGTCCTGAGGGCCCCAGTGTAGACATTGGGAAATCATGTGCTCATGCATGCTCTGTGATGATGGAAAACAACCGGGAAAGGAGAATCGCTCTTGTTGCTGCTGGTGCAGCTGCCGGAATTGCTTCAGGTGTGGAAATTTTATCAACATCATCTCTTTTTTTGCGGGCAGGTTTCTCTATCTCATTTAACTTTTAGAATCCCGCGGTCAAATCTTTTGTTGGTTTAGCTTCAAAGAGCCCATACGGTAAGGCCTAAAATGTACGAATTTGTTGGAGTTGTTTCTAAATTTGTTGAATCTGTTGAATAATAATAAAATATCATTTAAAACATGTCTCATATAAAAACATGAAGGTTGAAACGTCATTTTCATCACAAAAAAGGTACATCATGCACTACTTTTTTTCATTAAAATTACTTATTCAACTAGCGGGATTGTTTAGTGAAATTTTGTCTGATAAGCCTACAACAAGAACGACATCAACCCAGTATAATCCCAACTCCGTTGAGATCTGGAGGTCTAGATGTACGCAATCATACCTCTGTTAAAGCAGAGATGCTGTATCTGTAAGACCCTAGATGTATTGTTGTATTTACTGCCCAAAACTTCACAGAAAGGAAGCAACAAGGGATGTTTAATGTATCATTTTGATGTTGGATGATAAGGCTGTAAAGCCAAAATAAGGGGTTACCAAATGGGCTCTAAGTATGGAACTATGGATAATTTGGAGACGGCTTCCTGTTTGGGTAGTAGAGTGTCTTCCTACATGTTCGGTGCCATTTGATGAAGGCTGTGAGATGTAAGTTCAGATTTCTTGCATGCCGTTGATGTGTCGTTGTGGTGCAGGTTTTAATGCAGCAGTTGCGGGTTGTTTCTTTGCAATTGAAACTGTTCTAAGGCCACTCCGAGCAGAAAACTCTCCTCCCTTTACCACCGCAATGATTATATTGGCTTCAGTAATTTCATCAACTGTATCAAATGCTGTTCTGGGAGAGAAACAGGCATTCACTGTCCCCACATATGATTTGAAATCTGCTGCTGGTATTTTGATGTTTATATAGTTGTAATTGTCAATTGTTTTGGAGTATTTGGTTATAAAATAGTGGGTGCCTTCATCATTAGTTTATATGACGCCACCCACCCCCCCCCCACCAGAAAAAAAACAGACAGACAGTACACCTAGGGTATGTTTGGATAACCGAAAAGACTAGGGAAAAGAAAAAAAGATAGGAAAGTTATTTTCTTGTGTTCGGGCTTGCCTTGGAAAGTGGCAAGGAAAATAAATATGACTGATGTTTCTTAAAGTTTTACATATGTTTAGACTTCTAATATTTCATACCCGGAGTATACAACAACAACAACAAACCAAATATAAATTGAACTATGTTGGGGTTTGGGAATCAAGATGCATTTTATGGGTTCCAAACGGACCCTAAAATAGTCCTGAAGTTGTATTGAATTTATTAGCATCCCTTCAAATCTTACCAAAAGAAATTACAATCACATCAAGAAACAGTGGTGCTTATTTGTGGGGTTGTTCATGCATCCTTCACATTGTTATGTACGAATCTTTACTTGACTTCATGAGCTTTGTTTTGTTTCTTGCAGAATTGCCTTTGTATCTAATACTGGGAATGCTATGTGGAGTAGTAAGCGTGGCATTCAGTTATTTGGTCAAGTGGTTCAGCAATGCTTTTCAGTTCATCAAAGAGAATTTTGGAGTTCCTGACGTTGTATGTCCTGCTTTGGGAGGTTTAGGAGCCGGAATAATAGCTCTTAAATACCCCGGAGTACTCTATTGGGGCTTCACTAACGTTGATGAGATTCTTCATACCGGAAAGACAGCTTCGGCACCTGGGATCTGGTTACTGTTTCAATTGTCTGCTGCAAAAGTTGTGGCTACTGCTTTGTGCAAAGGTTCTGGTCTTGTTGGGGGTCTGTATGCACCTAGTTTGATGATAGGTGCTGCTGTCGGTGCCGTGTTTGGAGGTGTATCAGGGGAGCTGATCAATTCTGCTATTCCTGGCAATTCTGCTATTGCCCAGCCTCAAGCATATGCACTGGTAATACAAACTTCTCCTCACATGATTATTACAAGTCATTAATCTTGTCAGATCAAAACTCCTTCCAACTCTTCCTAGGTCTACCTCTAACACATTAATAAATGCATTGGAGTGATAAATTAATTTATAAATAGTTTTGCCCAAAATGCCCTTATTTAATGCTGATATCATCGTAAGAAGGGTGATATTTGATATCAAGCATTTAATGCGCATAGATTTCATAAACAGCGAGATCAAAAGGAACAAACAAATTTGGAAGGAGTGTTATTCTCGTAGCAGATATTGTGGAACAGATAATCACTTCATAATGAATGCAGGTTGGAATGGCTGCTACACTAGCTTCGGTTTGTTCAGTGCCTTTAACTTCAGTTCTTCTTTTGTTTGAACTGACAAAAGATTATAGAATCTTGCTTCCTCTCATGGTTAGTGTAAAATGGTCCAAACCACCTTCAATGTTTTTGGGCTAAACTGTCACCCCGAGTTTATCAATCTGACCTTTTCTTTGTACTTTTGATGACAGGGAGCCGTTGGATTGGCAATATGGGTTCCTTCAGTGACGAACCAGCCAAAGGTCATGGAGGTATCCGGCACAAATAATTTGTTAAGAGATTATTCTTTTCTTTCTCCGGATGATGACAAATATATTGGAAGTATCCGGGGCAATACTGGAGATAGGAGTGAGTTGGAACTTTCCATTATTGGCAATTCATACGATCTTGAAACAATCGACGATGATCTGATTCTGGACAATCTGAAGGTGTAGCTTTTTTTACCTCTAAATTCTCGTGCTTTTGAAGAGCAAGTAAATGTTGTCTTGCTCACAGAGTTCTCTTTGCGTACCATATCTATCAGGTTTCTCAGGCGATGTCTAATGACTATTTGAAGCTGTCATCAACGCAAACAGTGAAGGAAGCTTTGGATTGCATGAACGAAAGCCAGGAGCGTTGTGGCATTGTGGTTGACAATGAAGATCATATCGAAGGAATTTTAACATATGGTGACATAAAACGGAGTTTATTGAAGAACTCTGGTGATTTGCTGCATACAGATGTATGTATTCTTTTGTATAGCAGTCATTAAGGGTTGTCTTGGAACACCAAAAATACGTTTAAATACTAAGGGCTCATTTGACTTCATTTTTCTCTTTAGCTGAATAAGCTGTTTCAGAACTTGCTGATCCTTGAGAAATGCAAGTCTTTTTTAAAAAACAAAAAAAAAGAATCCCATTTCATTTTCCAAGGTAAAGCCACACAATAAAAATAACTTTATTTAACGATTCCTTTTCCTTTCCCTAGCATTGTTCCACTTCAAAACAGAGCCTAAAAGTTTTAGTTTTTCTTTGTCAGTCAAGTTCTATCCGGGAGTCTCTTGGAAACAGCCTCTCTACTTCCAAGTAGGGGCAAGGTTTTCCTACGCACACCCTCCCCAGACCCTACTTTTGTGGGATTTTACTAGGTGTGTTGTTGGTTAAGTTCTCTTCGCTGCATTTTGCAGGCAAATATGTCGCTTGTTTCCTCCATTTGCACAAGAGGGATAAGCTACCGAGGACAAGAATGTGGTCTTCTAACTTGTTATCCAGATACAGATCTTGCAATCGCAAAGCAACTAATGGTGGCTAAAGGAATCAAACAGTTGCCAGTTATCAAGCATACAAGAGACATTATTCAAACAGAGAGAAAACACAAAGTCATTGCCATCTTGCAATATGATTCCATTGAGGAGTCCATAAGGTGTTTATTGCATTTTTTTTGCGCGTTATTTGATCTCTCGTTTTATGCTTCTATTGCCTCTTAAAAATCTGAGCTTTAATCTTTTCGCAGAAGAGAGGTCAACCGCTTGAAATCGATCTGTCAGCAGATAAGAGAAGAGGATTCAGATCCCACGGATGCAAATGGCCACTGACAACAGTATAGGAAAACAAACTTCAAGAATTGGTTCTCTTTTGTTGAACTTCACAATCAGTTCTTATAGATAATGTTATAGGAGTCATGTTACAATAATCCTAAGTTTGACACCACGAATGACAACTCTCTATGAATTTGTCTAATTCTGTATTGTGTTTGTGAACAAATTTACTGACGGCTGTCATCCGTGGTGTCAAACTTTGGATTATAGTAGAGTATTATTCATGTTATACCCCTCACTGTGCTCATATAGTTCTTGCCCTAGGCTCTGGCCCCTTTTACTGTTGAAAAAATTGGGGAAGGAAAAGTACATTTGTATTTTCTGTATATGCAATTTATTTTAGCAATGGCAAATTACAGTTAGTTGAACTATTGGTGAATTCACTTTTGTTTTCTTCTGTTACAGTTTTTTATAGGGGTAAAGTCTACGTACTCCATCCTTTCGGATCACATCATAACTTTAAAAAAATTAATGTAAGATTCACAACGTTAAAATCGGATATCGCTCTGTATTTGGGGAAGACCACCCAAACTTGAAAGTACTTCAGCAAGTATTCCTTTAAATATTTATTGATCTAAACGTAATTATCATTTTATGCTATTTCTAGGTAATAATCCATTCAAATGTTTATATTTTCAGAATATTAGACATGAAAACTCCATTTGTCTTAAATCAGTTAAATGTTCTCGTTTATATTCTTTAACCGTCCAATATTGGTGCGTTCCATATTGTTTCTCTTCCCAATCCAAATGCCAGAATTTGACCAAATTTTCAAAATTTTCCACTATAGGTATCCATAGAAGTTGTGCATCAAAAGAATAACAAAGAATAAACTATGGAATGCACCAAGAAATATAATCCAATCTAACATTTCTTCTTCTTCTTCTTCTTCTTCTTCTTCAAAACCCCATAATGGTAATAAAATTTAAGTTTTCACATCTGAGGTCCAAGAGGCAACCTACTGGTGGTGAACTGCTGATAGGGTGAAGAGTCATTAGAAGAGAGATTCAAACTGGGTTCCGAGCCGGGCTCCATTTTTGGTTCTGACTTGACCATCAGCAGCCCATTCATCGGTGGGCCCGGTTGGTGCTGTCCTAGGTACGGATGATGAGCTGGAAACATGCTCGCAATGCCTTGCTGGCTCATCATCCCGAAACCGAAACCAAGGTGGGGCCCGCCGTGGAAACCAAAGGATCCGAGGTGGGGCATGGCGAACTGCTGGTGAGGAGTCTCAGGCCTGTGCACATGAACACTCTGTGATGGCAAAATGCTGGATGAACCCCCAGGATTGTTGGCATGGCTATGATGATGGTTGTTGCTGTTTCTGGCTGCTGGAACATCATGGTTGTGTTTCCCTTCATAGGTTGTAATAACTGATTTCAGATCGTGCGAAGCCCTCTCCACATGCTTCCTAACAGTGCAGCCAGCGCTCGTGCACTTGTAGTAACTCCTGTGGAAGCAGACACAAAGAACGTGTTAGATTTAAGGGTCAAGAAGGTTCTGATACGATGTTAATAATGAACCAACTCAGGCCTGTGATTCAAAGGACAGAAATCTTTTTATATTCTAGCAGAAACAGTTATGCCCCCACACCTTGGATTTGGATTCCCTTTCACAACCTTTTGTCCATACTTGCGCCAACGGTACCCATCATCTAGAATGTCAACCTCGCTGGTAGTCTGCACCACCACCCTGGGTTCTCTAATGGCTCTTGTCGCCCCTCCGGTCATATCTGCTGCATAAGTTTCAATCTTCCTAGAAAACATCATCACGAACATAACATGTCATTGTTTGTAACATTTTTTTAGCAAATTACATGAAAAAAATAGCTTCTTTTGATGAAATATGGCTTTTTTGGGATTGTGTTGTTTTATACACCTTCTCTTTGAGTCGAGCTCATCTCCTTCACCCTCATAACCCAGTGATACGCTGCCATTCGTACCGCGATCGTCTTCATCTTCATCATTTGAAAAAAGGGAAGAACCATCCACAGGATCTCCAGATTCATAATGAGTGCCATTCTGGGCCTGAGGTCCTTCACTGTGTTCAGACCCCAAAGGTGCAGAAGATGTTACTTCAAGATTCTCACTCTTCCAATCACCATTGTTGTCCTGTTCAGCATTTTCGGATTCAACGGCTGCCCTACGATTGGAGGGAGGCTTCGGGTGAGTGTGGGCCCCCATATAGATAATCTCTGTGATATGACCCTCCTGTGACCGCTCCACCTTCTTCTTGACCGGGCAATTCGAATGCGTGCACTTGTAGTAACTCCGCGGATACTCACTCCCTCTCACCTGTTTCTGCCCATATTTTCTCCAGTTATAGCCATCATCAGCCGGTGCACCAACCGAACTGGGATCTCCAGCATCCTCAGCATTGGGCTCAGAAATAGATTGGCCGTAGAGACTGGCTGGAGGTACCTGTCAAAGCCAAAGGCCACTAATGAGTTTCATTTTTGCAGACTTTGTTTCATGCATGACAATGAACCAAGGGAAAGTGATAGAAGACAGGTGAAACTGCTTTGCTAACCGTAACAGGGCAAATGGGAGGAACATTCTCTATAAATGGCTTGAAAGCAAATGATGAGGTATCATTGTTATTGTTATCAGAAGCCACTGAGAATAACGTCGAGTTTTGACTGTCACCCATTGATGGAAATGCAAACTTCCCAGTTGTTGGAGATGATTGGACCTGCAAATAAAAACCCAGTCCTTGATAAATATTTTCTTTTCAAATAAACTGAGTTGAAAACATGTTAAATTAAAACATCATAATTCAAGCCAGGAAGATTAACTTACAAGAGAATTAGAGAGGAAAACTGGGGAATCAAGAAGGGTTGATGGACTAAGGCCAGGTGGAATTGCCAAGTGAGACCTGGTTTCTTGGTGGTTTACAGCAAGAGCAGAAGGGCGAATGCTCTCAGTGTTCAGCTTTGGGGCACTGAAACCGGCTCTAGCTGCCATCCTCTCCATTAAACCTCCTCCTTGACAGTTGGTTTTTGGCTCAGGCTGTGGACTGATGAATCCAGCTGCAGTTTGATGGCGGGCTGGTGATACACATTCTTCTGCTTCTTCTTCAGCATCAGTTTTATTTTCATTGCCATTAGTCAAAGAGAAAAATGCATTAGAACTTGTTGGGCTGAGCATCCAATAATCTCCCATGAATGGTTGCACGCGATCGCCACCAAAATCATCCATTTCAGCAACACTTGAGATCAGCAACTGCAATACAAGACTATCAAGATTGTTTTCCTGCATTAGAGAAAGATGGAAGCTTTTTAAGCCATAATGAAAAAACAATGCGAAAAGATTCTTGAGGGCATCAGCAATAATGTATATTGATTTATGGCTAATTTCAAGAAATGTTATGATGACATTTTAAAGATTTTGTTTTATTTTAAACAGAATGTTTAGGACCATTTTGCCTGCACCAGCTAGCTTGTTCTATCAAACTTTGCTTCTAAGATGGAAACTTTTTGTTAAATTGAAGAAGGGCAACAATGTAACACGCAGGTCAAGGATAAAATGAATGCAGAAAACCTTAGGATCCACCATTAATATGAATTTCCTTATTTGTCTAACCAAACAAGAAACATTCATACGAGTAACTTGCTGCATACTACCCAGTAAAAGGCATTCGTGGAACGAAAGAAATCACGAATGACCAAATCTCAGTCCATATCACTCTAGATTAGCAGAAAAGCAGTCAACAAAAACTTAAAAATCGCAACATCAGCGTGGTTCTGAAAAAAATAAAACAGACATCAGGATCTGAAGAACAACGAGAATCATCAAGAACAGTAGAGTTATTAAAAAAACAAGATCAAATCATAGTTTGATTTTTCCCACTAGTAATCAGATGGAAAAAAGGTCAAAACTTTTGGATTGAGAGCTAAAAAAAACAAGTGATGAAGAGAAACGATAAAGAATTCCCAGCCCAAAAAATCCAATCATCATACAATGATGATGGTGATTAGGGATTGTGATGGTAAAAAAAACAGCACCTGAAATGAAACACTTATGCAGTTGCTTGAAGATTGTTATTTTTCTGAATCCATGAAATGAACCAAATCCTTCCTGTTCTTCTTCTTCTTCTTTTCTTCTTCTTCCAAGAAACGCCGCAGATTTGGCTGTAAAAGGGCAGGAGGAATATATGATTGGGTTTTTGGAGAAACAATAAAGTTGTTGTCTGAACAAATCAAATCATGGGAATCAAAATAAATGAATGCAGATAGAAATGGGAAAGTGGTGGGGGGGTTTGTTTGATGTGGACCTGCTGAATAAGGGTCTGAAATCTGTTTTGGCTTTCAGTCTGCCTCTGCAAATTTACTCCATTTGGGAGTGTGTGTGTGTGTGAATGAATAGATTTTGTTGAGCCGGGGAACAATATCAAATTTGACCCACCAATGGGATGCTACCATGCCCACTATTTATCTTGGACTAACAATAAAGTTGCCCTAAAACCTACTCCCTCTAATATACTCTCACCCTCCCAAAATCCTTGCGAGATCATATACTTCTTCTGTTTCTAGATGATTAACATATTTTACTACTTAAAAATTGCGAGAATTTTTATTTATTTATATGAGTTCATCGATTATTTGATGAAATAAAATATTTTTTCATATTGATTTTATTTTTTATTTATATAGCAATCTTTACTAAATTAAAAAAACTTGAGATTTTACTTCGTTTTACGTAAATGGTAAATGATTTTGGGACGGAGGAAGTAAAAATTTAAAACAAAGTGAATCTTAATTTTTTAAAAATTTATTTTACTTAAATATTGATATTAAAATAAAAAATAAAATTTATTTATTTAAAAATTATGTCAAAAATGCTTTAAAATAAGAGATAACTAGAATATTTTATTTCATCAAATGAATACTGAAAACATACAAATAAATAAAAGAGATAACTTTTTGAATCAGAGTAGAAAACTATGAAAAGGCTAAAATACAAGTCATATCTCTTTTAAGACCAAAATAGAAATTTGCACTGACATCGTTACACTACCACATTTGCCATATTGTCACACCGCAACTGCCACACTGTCATCCGTCACCGTCAGCCACCAAAATACCACTGCTGATCGCTGACGATTGATAAGAAACGAGTGGTAGAGACGAGAGTGACAAATAATTTGGGATATAACTTTATGTATTCAATGTTTGGTATAGTTAACAACTCCTATTTTAGGATTTTCATTTTTTAACTTCTATTTTGAGATTTTATCAATGTTTTACTCCTATATTGCTCATTTACCCAACATAGCAACATTATTTTGTTAAATTTAAAATATTGTTGTTTTTCCCATGTCAATTTAGACTAATAAAAATTAGTTCTTTTCTCCATAATTTCCGGAACGTGGGTCGGTCTCATGTAGATTAATAAAAAGAAATTTATTGTTTATGTTAAAAAGTGGAAGAAAAATAATATTTTGTGTGAATAAAAAACAGTGACAGGAAAAAGACGTACAAATTGAAACTATTTTTAAACTATAGTTATGAACATAATAATAATAATAATAATAATAATAATAATAATAATAATAATAATATTCCCTCTATCTCAAAAAGGTTCCAAGTTTGACTTGGCATAATGTTTAAGAAAAATGAAAATGTGTAGTTGAAAATAATACGATGGAGAGAGAAAGATTGTGAGTCACTTAACATTTTCTAAAAAAGAAAAATGGATGTTTTTTTTGAGACGTTCCTAAAAGAAAACAAGGAGTCATTTTTTAGGTGGATGAAGTAATAATAATAATCCCTTGATGAAAGTAGAAAGAGTTTTGATGAAAATTGGAATAATTTGAAAATACTTGAAAGAATTGGAGAATTTTGAAGAAAATGAAAGAAATAAAAAAAATAATTATAAGCCTTTACTTCTTTCTTTTCAAGTTATCATATGAATTATGAAGGGAGATTCTGTTTTATGACATTTATCCCCCCCCCCCCCTGAATATTATTGTAATCTGAGAGTTTTATCACTTGTGATGAATAATATATCTGATCAACTCATGTTCTCTATATATTACAATGTATCTTCCCTCTTTGGTCGAACTGGTCCTTGAAGACAGACCTCCATTGGAGCCACTGACGCATCTTGACCTCACCAATGTTGGGCTTCAGTCTCTAGGCGCCCTGAAACAATTGACTGCCCTCTCAATGAATCACTATGATGTTATCTTTAGAGATGAAGACACTGACTGAGGTCTGATGCCAGGGTATAAGTAGATTTTGCGTATAACGTCAATAAGCATCATTGTAGTAACCTAAGATCCAATTTGATTTTTTTGGTGCAACGCACCCCGCTCACGACAGTAATGCATCAAAGCCTCCTTCATAACCATTTCAACACTTTGGCCACTCTTCTATTACCTATTTTGCTCGTCTTAAATACTGGAGAACTTGAAGAGTTTGGATTGAGGATCTCGTCATTTACTCGAGATCATGTCGTTCGTCCAGTATTGGATGCGGTCCATCACTTCAAAAAATTGAGTCTGAACCCGAGCCCAAAAGTCTGAGGATGTTTGATTACGACCTAAGAAAATATTGTTAAAGGGTTAAAAAAATTAAAATAGCCAAAAACATTGCACTAAAAAAGTAAACAAATTTTAAAAAATTGTATAACCAAAAAATTTTATAATCGAAAAAAATTGTATTAAAAACTCGGAAAAACAACATAACAATATAACAAAATGTAAAACAAATTGATCTAAGGATCCATGCAGGTGTTGATATAGGGTCAGGCTAGGGCAACCTCTTCCGTCTCTTGTTTTGTGTGGTACCTCCTTCTTGTGTTTTCTCTTTGAAGTTGCCTTGTTAGAATCTATGGCGAGCTGAGATTGGGATGATTGTTTGTTTTGTCTTTCGAGAACGAAGTCATTCCCGAAATCAAGTGTGTTGGTTGAAAGCTAGTCCATGTTAGAATCAAGGGGGGTAGTTTTGCATGGGGGTTGTCATAGAATTGGACCTATTTTGTTTATTCTGATCCATTCGAGGTCGTTAACAATTGTAAAAAAATTGAGTAATTTTTTTTGTATTTATAGAAGGAAATTAGGAAGTTTTTTTAATAAAAAAAAAGAGTGTAACGACTCTTTTGACCGTTGGGGGAGGGGTTTCGCCAGCTTCTGAGGAAGGCAACATCCGTGATGGCGGTCAAGCATCGTTGGTCACGGCGTTCCCGTCGCTGTTGTTACGTCGTGACAAGCTAAAAAACGCATGCCCTCACAGCCCATAACACATAGTCTAAGTTGATAAAATAAAGTTTATGAAAAAAGTATTTGATATGTAAATCTCAAAAATGTCAATAAATACATATAGGCAAAGATAAGAGCAAAAAAGGAGTTCTGCTTCCCAAGTAAAAAAACATCAAATCGGTTGATCCAGCACCGGAGAGTGGCGGAGACAACTTGTTCCGCTCAACTCATGACGACAGCTGGAAATTGGTTCGCCGCCGACGAAGGCAATGGAAGAAGCTCGCGCCATTCACTGGATAGGCTCCCGGACAGCATAATCTGCGAGTTTCTGCAAAAGCTGGACTTGGAATCTCTCTGCGCCGCAGCCTGTGTGTCCCGCACCCTCCGCTCCGCCGTCTATCAAGTTCTTGCTTCTCTTTCCTCTCTCGATCTCACTGTAAGCCTTTGCCTCTTTCTTCCCAAATTATCTTATGAAGGGGGTTTCTTTTTTCTGTTTTTTAATCACTGAATATTGATGTGTCACCACATGTTTGATAGAATGCCACACACAATGGTGCACCCTGCACTTCTCTAAAGTCTTGTAACTAAAAAAAATCTAAAAAATTCAGCTTTTATTCATACAAAAATGGGTTGATTCTTTTAAAGAAGAAGAACAGGAGCAAGAATGAAATTGACTTTTAACAGGCATTTCCCCTAGACCCCAAGACTCTGCAACTTATTGTAGGCAGATTCGAAGGGGTGAAGAGTGTAGCTGTTGATTGCCTCCGCGTGGTTGATTTTGATTTTATTAATATCTTGGGAGCACAAATCCGGGAACTGAATTTGTTAAAGTGCTCTTCGCCATTCCACAACACCCTTAGCACAATCGGTATGAGGTTCCCAAATTTAAGGCAAGTTCTTTTTCTTCATGCAGTTTCTACTTTCAATTTTTTGCTCAAAATTTGATGGAGATAATGTTTCAACTTCCTATTACTTCATTCAATTCATAAAAAAGATCGTAGCTTTACTCTTGTTAGTTGACTGAGATTAGTATTGTTTGCTTCTCTTTGTTGAGTCAGGGTTCTTTCGATTGAATTAGCTGGTCAAGGATTACCAGAAGTAATTACCAAACACCTAGCGACAATGCTTAAGGATGTTTCCTACCTCGAGGTAAAACCTTGAATGTATTCTCTTCGTACTTAATGTTTTTAGTAGTGTAATGCACAGTAATTTGACCAATTTCCTTTTCTTGCAGTCTCTATCTTTAAAAGTTCACGTAACTGAAGATGATACATATATATTTCAATCTGTTCACCTCTTTCTACCAAAAACTCTCAAAAGTTTGAAGTTACAACCAGTGGATCAACAGCATTTTATCCATTCCTTAGTACCTACTGTAACCATTTTTACCAAACATCTATGCTCCTATAGTTCGTTCTTCAATTTGAAGATTTTGTCACTTGTGCTAGATTTTATTTCTGATGAACTCGTGTTCTCTATTGTAAATTTTCTTCCCTTTTTGGTTGAACTGGGCCTTGAAGATAGACCACACTTGGAGCCACCAATGCATCTTGACCTCACCAATGCTGGGCTTCAGTCTCTCGGCGCTTTGGAACAATTAACAGTCCTCTCAATCATACGGAGCAAAATAAACCTTCCAGTTTATTTCAGAAGAGTTAACGATATGGGGATGCTTATTCTTTTCGAGAACTGCAGAGGCTTGGAATCCTTGAAGCTCGGTGGGTTTTCGAAAGTTACAGATGCTGGTTTCTCAGCAATTTTACATTCGTGCCAGAAGTTGAAAAAACTTGACCTTCGTTATGCACTTCTCTTGTCAGACCTCGCGTTCCACAATGTGAAGGAGGTTGCTAGTTCTCTTGTCAAGTTAAGGTTATTGTCATGTAATCTTCTCACTAGTGAAGCTCTAGAAGAACTCTCATCTTTTGGCAAACTGGAGGTTCTTGACCTGTCTGGTTGCAGAAGCATTGCAAACCCTTGCCTTAGCTATGTATCAAGCCTTCGTACACTCACCAGTTTAAGTTTAGCTGGTTCCGATATCACTGATGAGGGTCTGGCTATACTTGGTAGAGGCAGCTCACTGATCACACATTTATGCCTTAAAGGTTGCAAGAGAATATCTGAAAAGGGAATTCACAAGTTATTTCACGGCGAAGGGAAAATTGGGAATGGATTGTTATGTTTGGATATTAGCTACATGGCCGGGATTTCTGATGCAGCGATTGAAACAATTACTTCTTCTGCTAAAGCATTGACCGATCTGTGCATGAGGTATTGTTTCTTTGTGACTAATGCAGCCGTGGAAATGTTAGCATCTAAGGGAAAGTTGAATGACGAGAGTACCCCTCTTCGAAAACTTGATCTTTGTAACTGCACCGGTTTATCGGATGATTTAGTTGAAACTTTTGATGAGGCTTTCTTCCCTGGTTTGCACTGGCTTGGTGTTGGTTTTACTGTCTTGAAGAGTAGAAAAGATCACTTTGAGGCTATCTGGGCTTCACGGCCGTGGTTGACTGTGTGTTTTGATGGCTGCGAATTGGGATGCCATGATGGGTGGCAATTTCACGTTTGATGGCCTATGCAGCTTGAGCCGGGGTGGTCTCATGGAAACAGTCTCTCTACTTTCAAATAAGAGCAAGGTCGGCGCCACACCCCTAGACCCTATTCTTGTGGGTCCCAACTCCCAAGTGTGTTATTGTTCTTCAGCAAAGCATGAAACATAATGAGATTGTGAGACCTGAAATAGAAGTGCTTGGAGATATTTGAAATAGGATGATGTCTCAATTACTCCTCGGCAAGCACTTATGAAATCAAATGTAGTGTTATGTACTATTTTGATGTAAAATAAATTATGTTGTAAAAAAAATTAAGTCTGAGGACATTATTTCTTTTCGTCTGAGTACATTTTAAATTTTACTGTATAAAATAAGTGACTGTGGTGGATCTATTAAGTAGGGAATGAGGACATTTGCCCCAATGAGTTTTAGATTTTTTTAATAGTATCCCAATTTTTTTAAAAAATTTTAGTTATGCCCCCATCAAAAAACAGAATACCCCATAAAAAATTAAAATTCCTCCAATAAAAAGAAATTTCAAGTTGAAAATTGATTATACATCATTAAAAGATAGCAAAAAGCTAGAAAGTATTTGCGAGACTTTTCTTTTTTTTTTGAAGGAAAAAAAATCACATTAATTAAAGTGAGAAACAATAAAGTCTGGAGGAACATATTCCCAAACCCCATGTTGAGCAACCGCTCGACGGGCTAACACATGAGCAACACCATTCAAATCTCGACAAACATGAGAGATACAAATTGAACGGAAAGAAGATAAAAATAGCCTACACTCCTCAATAATCGAACCGAAGTACGAGTGAGAAACGGTGACGTGGTTGATGGCATTCACCACCATCCAGCTATCAGAAAAAAGCTGCACCTCCAAGCATGCCTCTCTCTTTAACCAAGCCAAAGCCTCTCTAACCGCTATTGCTTCTGCTAGAAGGGGATCTTGGGAACACGGAATAGTACCGTTAAATGCTTTCACAAACCTACCACCTGGATCAAGAAGAACAGCACCGAATCCTACCTCTCCGACCTGAGGAAACAAAGCGGCATCAACAAAGCAATGTTGCACCTGCCCTGAACTTTGCTGCCCTAGAATAGAGCAAGACGGCGGAGTCAATTGCTGCCCCAAACGGCTGTCCGGCCAACGTTCAACCAATGACTTAATCAACCGAATAGTTACTGCCGGTAGCGAAACCCTTCCATCCCAAACTGCTGCATTACGAGTCTTCCACAAAGCCCAAACTGCATATGCAATAACTTTAAGCTCTCCCATTAACCTTGAACCAATAAGCCCTTCAAAAAAATGTATAAAAGAACCCCCGGCTACTCTTGAAACCTGAACTCCAACCCCTTCCCAAATAGCCATAATTTGCGAGACTTTTCATTAATCATTTGAATGCTTTATTGAGTTGAAAATAACTATTTTTGTAATTTCACATTTTTTAGAAACAAATTCATGTCACTACCCCCGAACCCTGTACTAGTCTTGCCTCCAGCCTCCAGTCTGTCCAATTCCTGGATCCACTATCGGTTATTTATCCATGATACGGTGGATATTTGTCAATGACGACAATGGTGGTCGTATGGGTTGAAGCCCGGGACTTCAAACTTGGATTTCAAACCTTCTCTCTATCACATCAATTTTAACCTCTTTTACTTGCTTCACAGTTTCACTAGAAATAGGTTTGAAGTCGGTGATTTCAATCCATGGTTGGAGAACCGGATGAAGGATTCATGAGAAAAAATAAAAAAGAAAAGAGAAAGATATGAAAGATGAGAAAGAAGAGAGAATTATATGAGAGAATGAGAATACGTTGTGTGTATTTTTTTAATAAATGAGAGGATATTTATAGTTGAAAATTAAAAAACAATAAAAAAATTGTCAACTGCCAAAAAAATTGACCGTTTGGGGGGGGAAGGGGGCAACGGCTCATGCATTTCAGCCGCATTAGACGTGGAATGCTATGCGTTTAACACATGAGGGGGGCGGTGTTTGACGCCTTGAAGGCGTTAAACACCCGAATGACGGAGGGGGCATCATGGGCATTTCCACTGCCCTAAGTCATGCTCTTGTGTCAACTCATTTCATGCTAAAATTTCTGAAGATTGAGCTCCATGGTCTATTGTTGGTCTTTGTTGGGACTGTTTTAGGTTAATAGCTTCAAAAAGTGAAGGATAAAGACGTGTAGAGAGTCTTTGTTTTCTACAAATGGCGACAATATGTCAATAGCATTTCTGGTAAATGTTTGATAAAACTCCAAATGTCAAGAAAAAGGAATGCTACAATTAGGAAGTGTTCCCAAATGCAAAATATATAGATACATCAAGGCAGAGTTAGAACAAAAAGGAGGAGTTGCTGGTGCCCAAAGCAATCAAGTCCCAACCGGCCAAAAGCTAAGATAAAATGTAAAGAAGATGGAAGTGTTTAAAGACATAAATGTTGCTATGCGATTTCTACAGTGCGTATGCTCCTTCTCCAAGGCACACATTACTTCTTGGCGACTTTGCGCAGTAAAAGACTGGCTTGAAAGTGAGCGCTCAAATAAAAGACGCTCGACCCCCTCTCCTGCTGTGTCTATCATATGCAATGTTGAATTTCTCAACCAGCTCGTTCATCGTGCTGCCATCAAGAGAACAAACATTTGTTAGATATATAAATACAACAATAGAGCTAGTAAAATCCATCTAGGCAGTAGGTTCTAAGGGAGGGTGTGTGGACGTAGACTTTACTCCTGCTTGGAAGCAAAGCGGTTGTTTCCAAGAGGCCCCCAATTCAACAGAAAAGCACAAATAAAGTAACCATGGCATTGTATTCAAAGCACACGCGCATGGCTTTCATACTTAGGCAACAAGAAAAAACGATAGCAAACACTACAAAGGCCCCCTACCCAACTACTCTAATACTAGCTTCCTGACACTTCTATCAAAAGCCATAGTTTGTAGTTCATTATATATATGTACACACACACACAAGGTAAAAAAAGGACATCACTTAGAAGCCACTTATGAATGGATGGCCTGTTTGTTACCTGACTACAATTCACAAATTAAACCAATCCAAACACACTTGTAATCAATTATACCTTGAGCAGTTGGTGAACATTGCCAGGTAAGTCACTAACAGCGTGTCATTATACTCCTGCAAAGGAAAAAGAAATGTGAGTAAAGTTTTAAACAGAAAAAAATACTGTAAAAGATATATACTCATATGAAGAAGATAATTTTGAATCAGTATACAAGAAAATGATTGATATTTCCTTTAAGAATATTCATAGCAGTTTCCAAGTTCCAAACAAAACCCCCTAATGAGATAATTTAGAAAAAAATTTATTATGTTTGATTATGATAAAATCCAATGAGTCTTGCTCAGATTTCTGCACGCTAAACAGCAATGAGTGATAACCCAGTATATAAAAACTGAATTTCTTCCCTGGAATACTAACCATCAAGAAATCATCTTGGAATTTCTCAGACTCGATTGCTGGTAATCTTCTCAAGAGACTAGAGACCTGCCTTAGCAATGAATTCTCGGATGGAATTTCACCTGCATTTGCATTCATAAAGCAATTAAAGCATGATATGTGCCTTTCATGGTCCTTTTCCATTATAACGACACAATTCCAGGTGCTTCTAAGCTGTGTTTGTTTCATAAAAAGTCTTACTACAGCTTAAATAACAATTATGGGTAGATTACATTAACGGATGATGTAGATAATTGAAAAAGCTCAATTTGGATTAGATTGTGTTTCCTTCAATATTTTAGAACATAACATAATACTCTGTAAGAGAAAACCGTGTTAGATATGATGAAATATATTAATGTAGAATGCTGCTTCAACGTTTTTGCCCTTTAATTTTAGTCGGAGCATGTTCTTTCGTATTACAATAGAAATAAGTATAAATTATAATATAATTTGCAATTTGATAGTACATGATAACATATTATTAAATAAATACATGAAACTATATAACATGTGGGCACAGAGAGAGATAGTGCAAAGACAAGGCATTTACAGTAACACTCAACGTCCGAAGAGAGAAACTTATTACCTTTTTGCATAGCAAGAAGATAGTGGTGAAGCACTCTGATTCTGCTATTCAACATTTTGATAGCACTATGTATGCCAGTAAGATGAGCAGCCACTGTATTCAGGAAAAAACCATCCATAGGTGAGAAGGTTCCAACTTTCTACCACAAAAATAAAAAAATTGAAAAACAATAGGTGACACGACTGCACAGATTCTATGTAAAGAAAAATGAGTCTCAAAGAACAATGAATTTGACCAGCAATGGAATAGAGCTCACATTGTGTAGCGGCAGAACCTCCATCCGAGGGTTTAAGATGTGCAACATGATCAACAGAAATTCGTTCAGCTTCAACCGTCTTAAAAGAAACAGAGAAAAATACATTTGGTCACCTGTTATTTTCCACATCTAGACCGCATTATGAAAGATATGCAGTAAACAAAGAGCAACCAACCTCAATTGTGTAGCTGGCACGGACAAAAATAAGCTGTGGTATCCCATCAATCACATGCATCTCTTCAGTGTCAATAACAATTCAGTATAATAAATGAGCTAGGAGAACCAGTGATAGAGGTAATAGAGAGTAATATTATGCTAGAATCTTATATAAAATGCAAAATATGCTAACTGGATTCAAATGAGACTTTGAAGTTGTATTTCACATTTTGAGGATTTGGTTTAAAAAGTTATATGAAGATTTTAAAGTGAGGAATTCAACTCATGTATAAGCGCATTGCGCATGTCATCTAGAATCTAGACAGAAAACTTTAGAGTAAGAAGCACACACCGCTTTCGTAGATGGTGACTGGCAAATCCTTCTGTGCATGATTGATGGATGGGTTGAGAAGAACATATACCGGACTTTCATTGATATCCATCAGCTGTGTTCATGGAATATTTATATAAAAGGTTTTACAATTTGACAAACACGCAATTTAGAACTTCTACAATCCTACGATCTGAGTTGAAAAAGAGCAACTCCATCACATGTAGAACAATTCCATTAACATTTATTGAATAAGGCAACTTTTTTTTGGTAAATTTTTTCAATGTTCAGTGGGTATGTCCTAAATGAGCCCCATTAGCAAAAATGTCTGTCTGATTTTTGAAAGATCAATAAATTATATTGATGTTCCTCCTTTCCCAACCTTGTTCTAGCACTATCCTGATAGTTGGCATATTTTGAAAATAAATACCCTTGTAAATTTCACTGAACTACAAAATGTTATATTGGATA